ATTTCAATTAAACGCATTAATATGCGTTCAAATTTCATCATTTGTACTTATGAAAGAACGAGTGATCATCAGTTACTTATTCATTACTATTATCATAATTTATTATTATTTATTCTTGCTATTTATTATTATTATTATAATTAATTATTGTTATTGAAACGATTACGTAAGAAATGAGAAACTTAATGATATGAATGATAATCAGGCAGGATTTTTCAAATATCCTCTTAATATCTTTTAATTTTGTTAAATTTAATATCATCTTATCAGACATTTTAAAATATTGTTTTGTTTTAAAAAGAAAAAAAGAGAAATTTCACTTTTCTCATTTTTCTCTATTCTTTCCTTTGATAGTTTACAGTTACAGACAGTTCCAAATTTAGCGAAACTTATTAATTCTGATTGTGATTGATTGATCGATTGATTTTTATATAGAAATTTTGGAAAAAGTACAAAAGATATATAAAAATATTTAACGTAAATAAGAAACGTGTGATATGTATGAGAATGAAAGAAATTCATTTTCATATTGTTTCCTCTCACTGAAAACTATTTATTTACGTCATTCTTACGTCAAACATTTCCGTTTTGTAGGAAAAAAAATCAATGAATATTTCCTGAATTTTTGTTAACAAATGAAACATTACAATTTCTCCGGTTTTATCTTCACGTCAAACTAAACCACCAATGAATCATACTTGAATCATTTTCACGTCAAACTAAACCATTAATGAATCATAATTGAATCATTTTCACGTCAAACTAAATCACCAATGAATCATACTTGAATCATTTTCACATCAAACTAAATCACCAATGAATTATACTTGAATCATTTTCACGTCAAACTAAATCACCAATGAATCATATTTGAATCATTTTCACGTCAAACTAAATCACCAATGAATCATATTTGAATCATTTTCACGTCAAACTAAATCACCAATGAATTATACTTGAATCATTTTCACGTCAAACTAAATCACCAATGAATCATACTTGAATCATTTTCACGTCAAACTAAATCACCAATGAATCATATTTGAATCATTTTCACGTCAAACTAAATCACCAATGAATCATACTTGAATCATTTTTACGTCAAACTAAATCACCAATGAATCATATTTGAATTATCTCACAGAAATATTTTAGATGAAATATGCATATACGAATAAGATCCCGCGTATCTTTGATTTTTATGGAGACAAATTTTAATTTCTAATCTATAAATGGGAAAAAACTACGAAGAAGTTAATGACAGATATTATTGGCTGAATCATTATAACACTCTTTGCCCGAAGATTTCGCAGATTATGGGATCGGTATGGGGTGCACTTATGATCCAAAATTTGATCCTATCATTGAAATACCGAAATTTCGGTACTAAACGTCGGATTTATGATTTACAATGATGCAAGCTATCAATTCATTCATCATAAATAAACCCCAAACAACTTTATTTGACTCTCCTCTCCTTCCGACACTTCATATCATTTCTAATCTTCGGATCATCATGCTTTATACATAATATTACCAATTTAGCAACTGAGCAGTCAGATAATTCTATTAATCTTCTTATCTTACCTTACCTGATAAGAAGGTTAATAGAATTATTTGAATTATTAAATAATTATGAAATTGAAGAAGAAAAGAGACTTTTTCAGTAAACATTAAAAATTTTTACCTGTCAAAAATAAATCATGAAATTTTTATTAAACAAATATCGATTACTACTTGTTTGTTATGCGAGAGAAGACATTTTATAAAACTGTTTGATAAAACTATATAAAACTCTCAATACTAATGCTATTATATTCTTGTATCAGTGGAACTGTTTAGTTTAAATGATGAAAATATTAAATTAAAGGTTAAAATCTATGTCAAAAGTTCATAATACCTATTTGAAATTATCGATCTTACACATGACTCATATATCAATGATATGACTCATACATCAAATATTACAAAATGTTTCAGTTATTCTTATTTCTGTACCACAATCATATCTTTTCATTCAATGCAATTTGTTAAAAGTAAAAAGAGGTAAAAGAGGTGAAAGTTCAATTGAAATTCACACAAACTTTATGTGAACTCAAAAAAAAAAAGCATACCGTTTGTGAAATTTGATTCGATACTGTTTGAATTTCCGGATGCTTGTGGTGCTATCACTACAGTTGCTGTTGCTGTTACTGATGATGATGATGTGGTGGTATAATCAACATCTGATACCGAAAGAGGAATGGAATCAGAACGATCAGCCATTTGCATTATCATCCATTAATTTTTTAAATAATCACAAAGTATTTGTAAAATTTTATCCGAATTTATTTTTTAACGAATATTATATAGAGAATTATAATATATAGAAATAAAATAACAATATAGTTAGCAGGAAATAATAATTACGAATGAATAGTAAAGAACAGTTGTAACTGTAATAATAGGATGATGATATTTGCGATAATTTGCACCAACTTCTAAATTACCCATTTCAACCCATTTTATCATGCAATATCTTCTGAAGCATTCCGTAAGAGCTGCAACGAAATTACAATCATTATTAAGTATTTGATCAATTTTATTCAAGCGATAATCACTACAACATTTTACTTCAAATATTAGATCTCATTCGATTCTTTCTTCTCTATCACTTATCATTCGCTTATCATTTTGGCATAAGAAACATTTTACTTCAAACATGAGATCTCATTCGATTCTTTCTTCTCTATCACTTATCATTCGTTTATCATTTTCGTATAGGAAACATTTTACTTCAAACACTAGATCTCATCCGATTCTTTCTTCCCTATCACTTATCATTCGCTTATCATTTTGGCATAGGAAACATTTTACTTCAAATATTAGATCTCATTCGATTCTTTCTTCTCTATCACTTATCATTCGCTTATCATTTTCGTATAGGAAGGCAATGTTACATAACTGATTATTTCCGGTGATTAAAAAAATTTTTTTCAAAGATCATTTGTTCTTAATGAAACTAAAGGTAATTTTATTCAAGCTATAATCACTACAACAACAGATTATTTTACTTGAAATATTAGATCTCATCAATTCTTCTTTCTCTATCACTTATCATTTGCTTATCATTTTGGCATAGGAAAGCAATATTATATAACTGATTATTTCTGGTGATTTAAAAAATGTTTTGCAAAGATAATTTGATCTTAATGAAACTAAATGGAACTAAATAATTGGCATAATTGAATGGACAACTGACCAATGGAATTTGAACGAATGGACACCAATAGAATATAAAGAAATAAACACAATGGACAGCAAATATTACTCTTAACGATTTTAGTGTAAAAATAGAGAAACGAAATATTATTTGTTTACGCGAATCATATAGAAGCCAAATATATAAACAAAAAAACATACACACATACATACACATACACATACACATATATATCTATGTATATAATCAATGAATGTAACATACGTACTCAAATGAGTTTCACATGCACTCACATACACGAACAGATACAGACACAGACACGGACACAGACACAGACACAGACACATACATATCACGATCGATACATCGTCGTCGTCGTCCTCTCTTGTCATCATTTAGCTGAGTGGTAACGATGATGGTGGTGTTAACCGACTACTCGGCCGATATGTATTCTTTTCTTCTTTTTCACCAATGGCTTTCATTTCGATAATTTACGCTGCAGTGCAGCTATACTACGCTGCAAGCATTGTGTTGCAGCATTACTTGAAAATGGATAATGGAAGGAAAAGGAATAACCCTTAAGAGATTTGATTAGGAGGAACGAAAAAAGAATATATTTATATATATAATTTGGGTCAATATATATAAATTGGTAATGGATAAAATTGTTACCTTATACTAATTTATTAGTATCAATTTCATTAACATCGGAACGTGAGAATAACGTAAAATATGATATGATAAGATAATGATGTTTTCGAGACATACGTAGAAATATTATGAAGAAAAAGAAGAGAAAGAAATTTTCGTATGATTAATTTAGATATTTTGGTAATGGATAAAATTGTTACCTTATACTAATTTATTAGTATCAATTTCATTAACATCGGAACGTGAGAATAACATAAAATATGATATGATAAGATAATGATGTTTTCGAGACATACGTAGAAATATTATGAAGAAAAAGAAGAGAAAGAAATTTTCGTATGATTAATTTAGATATTATTATTTATAGAGAATTACCTTAAAAGTATATATGAATAAGATTTTTGCGTTATTATATTCTAAACATCATTAATTATATTACTTATAAATTATTTGTTAATCTTTCATTTATTGTTTGTAATAGAGTTAATTAATTATCTCTATCTCTATGATAGCTATATATTCTCTTCCATCTATTATTTTCATCTTCACAACACATACGTTAAATTTCATTATATATTAATTGAAATAAAGGAAAGTTATAGATTGACCACTGACCACTGATCATATAATTCTTCTATTACTTAACTATATGTTAATTTTTTTTGTTATATTGGATAATTTTAACGAAAGAATAAAATAGTTAAGTGATAATATCATAATATATTGTTAAGCAATATTTTTTTTTAATGCGTAACTTATTGTTAGAGATAAGTATTACGAAAGAAATTTAAATTGAAAAGATAATAATCTATAATTACGATAATTTATAATGAAATTATTTCGGAAATTGTAAAGAAAGGGAAGAAGAAAATATTAGAATGATACGATTGGAAGTGTTTCCGGAAGTTAAAAACAGGACGCAATTCAACATTTTTCTTCGTAGGTGTAATTCCGGAAGTACACAAAACGAGTGTTGGTTGTTATATGTTGTTAAAATTTTGCAATAAAATATAAAAGTCATACTTAAAAAATTTCTAATGAATAATTGAATTATATAGAGAATATGTATTTATATTCATTACGCATAAATTGAAATGATTGCAAAGTTATAATAAAACTAACCTTAAATTTACAAAATTATTTCAGGATGAATGTGGTGGGAAATTATTTACCGGAACGATATTTATTTGATCAGGCAGCCGTATTGTTATTGGAAGGGGCCGAATTTTTTAGGGCACATAATCCTCCGAAATATAAAATGGCCATTAAATGTTTAAAGGTTCGTTATTTGTTTTTATGCGTTTATAGTTAAATTTTTAACAACCATTCAAGAATATTACATCTTTCTGTAAGATATTATTAGTCTTCCTTATCTAGTCTCTTACCTGTAGTATCTTACCTAAGACATTATTAGCCTTCCTTATGTAGTCTCTTACCTAAGACATTATTGGCCTTCCTTTTGTAGTCTCTTATCTGTAGTCTCTTACCTAAGACATTATTAGCCTTCTTTATGTATTCTTTTACCTATGCAATATGTTCAATTTGAAAATTTAAATTTTCATTTCAATTTCTGTTCAGTGATAAATAACACATCAAAAACTTTTATCCTTTAGCAACCATTTTATACACTTTTTTAAATATGACCAAAATTAATTGTTCAAAATTTTATTAATTTCCTTATTTTTGAAATTCTTGTACAATAAATTTAATTAAATAATTAATTAACTAAGTGATTAATTACCCGTCAAAATGCTCGAGTATCATTTCAGGCATGTTTCAAAACTCTAATGACACATGAAATGACATCATTCGTTAATTTTCAAATTGGAAAATTGTATTTTTATTATACAAAGAATATTGAATTAGCAAGGCATCATTTGGAACAAGCGGTATTTCATTTGTTTTCATTAAACTTTCCGATTGTTAACACAATGAAGTTTCTACTGGTTATTAGCAGAGAAAAATTTGTATACATATTGCTATTGTTACAGCAGAAATTTAGATACATATGCTTTTATTAATCCTAAAAAATATCACGTTATATCTTTTTATCACGTCATATCACGCTTATATCACCTTATATTATGTTATTGAAAATTTGTACCATTTTGTATTAGAATCCATCATTTTGTCATTTTTGTGGTAAAACTTTACGTGTACCTTAATGTGTCAATGGCAAATTTTAATGCATATTGCTATGAGCTTTTTATAAACTACCATTTTACGTTGTTATACCATAATTTATATTATCATATTATTATGTTAAATCTTCACTATTCATTTTTCCATTTTTAGTATCATGGAATGAAAGAAGCAGGCGCTGAATATACCAAATATCGAATAGAAATAGCTTGTTCAATTGCCGAAGTATATATGCAGCTAAAAATTTTTGAGCCAGTGAAACAGCTATTACGGAAGGAATCAGCGCATTCCCGAGATTTTCCTAGTATTCATGCACGTCTCCTATTCCTGCTTGCGGTATTTGTTTTCTGTTAAATTATTTCTTATTAATTGTTCTATTATAGTAACGTAGGATATGAGTATATGTTCTTTTTCAGAAATGAAAAATTTGTTTTAAAAGAAAAGAATACTATAGATTCAAACAAATAATATCGTATAGTTATTTTTATTCTTGCGCAAAGATTTTGCTTTATTATTAGCTGATTTGACAGCATAATTGTTGAACGATATTAGTAATTAAATGATCTATGATGCTAGCTTGTAATTAAATGATCTATGATGCTAGCTTGTCTCTGTTAAGCAAGTAATTAATCTTATTTCGATAATCTTATTTCGAGAGCTAGATAATTAGCTTCTTTCGAGTAATTAAATAATGTAAGCAATCATAATTTAGCGTTAGAAAAATGCTAATGCGAGAGCCACCTAATAATATTAGGAGATAATCAGATCAAAAATTATTTCTGGATTGGATAGTTTCAGGAAATCCATGGAGCAATGAATGATTGGAATAATGCAAGTGAAATAGTTGAAGCTGGTGCATCATTATTCAATCAGCTCGGTGATCCAGCTTTGGAATGCTATTTTCGTCTTTCATCTGCAATGGTAACTAAATGAAATAGTTGATTAGTATGGCAGTTTGTGAAAATTCTACAGATACAGTTTAGATTAAATTAGGTTGGTAGAAATGAAGCTGTATTTCAAGCAATAACAAGTAAAACATAATGCTATATCGCTACACATACGATGCTATTTGCTTGCTATTGAAGATATCGAAATTCCCATTTTGATACTTCGAAATTCATTTCTGCAATTTTGCCAAAAATTTGAAAAATGTTTAAAGCATGATTTTAAAAAAATTTCGCAATCACAGTCATAATATTTTATGACCACGCTCGTGCTGTAGATTATCACTGCAGACTGTCCTTTCTACAAAGAACTGAATGAAAAATTTTTAGTGACATAATTTGCCAACAGAGTTACATCCAAAAATTTCATATACATCACTATTAAATCGCATTACAAGTGCCGTCTGTCATCAGTATCGTTAATTTTTTTGTTCCTCTTAATATTTTAGATTATATCTATGGATTTAAGTCGGGAAGAAGAGCTGATGAAAAGTATAATGGACGTAAGTGAGAAATTAGTAATGCTGAATGCTGATAATGCGTGTTTGGATTATATCAAGGCTTTCTGCTGTACGGTCCAAATTTGTTTCTTTATATCAGCTGGCTTGGTTTGTTGTGTTTCATTAAAATTAGCAGATATTAGTATTTTTAAGTTAAATTCAGCCAAAAGTTTTGGTAAATGCTACATTGGAATGTTATGATTTAAATTTAAATAGTTGATATTCAAATAACAAAAAGAACTGGATGTTTCCATTAAACTTGAATTTAATCTAATTTGAATCAAGAGGGATTAGGATAGATCAAGACTGTCAATTTGGTTTGAATCCACTGAATTAAATTTTTTATGTTAAAATCGAAAGATATAGGAAATGTTAAAACTTTTTATTTTCAAAGTTTGACGACAAATTACTTATTCGAAATTTGAACTGATTCTTTGGATTTAAAATAAGGATAAATTTAAATACCCGAAGTCGAGAATAAGGAAATTTTTTACTGAATCACATCGACAAATGTTTACTGAATATTGGGTTGAATTTTTCATTTTAAATGACATATTTCAATTTCGAATTATGCGTTCATTTTCGCTCTGTATTTTTCAGTTAAAAAGCACAAAAACATGCTTACGACAATTGCAAACATTAGTGCAAACGATGAAATTAACCTACAGTGAGACAGCTCCTGCTGTATGGCCAACTTTTGATTGGATGGGTAAAGAAACGTTAATTGCGCTTACATATGTACTTACTGTGATACAAAGCTTGCAAACATGTCAAATTGAAAGGTTATATTATATTATCAACTTTTTTAATATTATTGTCCATTTGGTTAATTAGGAGTCGGTATATGTCTTGGCCCAGTGGTTCATAGCGGGCGCGAAGTGGTCGAAGGTTCGTTTCTGGTGACCACATTAAGCCACCATAACTGGGCATGATGCACATTGCACTTCAATGCAGGTGCTATCAAATCAATGGTGGCAAGAGTGGAAGGGAGTTTAATCACAATTTCGTCGTTATTTCATGGCGGATTTGTTTCATGTATCCCATACAGCTATTCTACTTCAGTGTGTTTTGTATGTTTGGGATATGTAAAAACTGATTGAGATTAAATTTGAGATGTGTTTTGCAAGACAAAAATTTGGGTTACTGGCTGGCTTTCCATTATTAATTAATTTAAATCATTCAGATTGTTTGTTTCAAACGTATAATATAGGAAATGTTTGATTTGTTCCCTTTTTTTGCCGATTATACAAATAGGATTAGAAAGAATGTTAACTTTGTTTTCTTTGAAAGACGTTAAAAGTTTGTTTGGTTATAATACGAAAAATTCAGATTGTAGACTTTCTAAATACATCTAAGCTGCTAAACTTGGTTCAATTTTGATAGATGACTAAGAATTATGAAATAATAATAAGCGATTAACAAATAATAGTAAGTGACTGTCAGGTGATTTTAAGTAACATTATGTGATTATGAAGTTTTCATCCAACAGCACACGGTGAACTAATGCTAACCATATTGTATATGTCTGATACAAGATATGATATACAAAAGATTGATATTTTTGTTTCTAGTAAATATAAGTAATGTTTGTTTATTAAACAACAATTGATAAATAGTTTAAAGCGTTTGTTTTTATTCCTTTAGGGCTCATAAATATCATTCGATTGCCATGCGACATATCACTGATATGCGACGTTTAATGGCTAAATCAAATTGGCCAGTAATAAGACGTGGAGCATTAGATTCATTGGCTGCATTTGAAATTATATTATTAGAGAATATTTCCGCCGCACAACTGATGCTAGCACGACCATTGGAGACTATAAGTGTTGTATGTTTAATCCTATTTTTGTTCGTTCTGGTTGTTCTAGTATGTTCAAAAAATTTTATGTATCTCATATAATACTTACAATTAATGTGCTGTGTCCTGTTTAGGCTATTTTCACTTTGATATACACATATAAGCATCATTTATTTATTACGGGATGATTTAGAAATTTAATAGATGACGGATTGTTTCCTTGTGCCCTTCTGGTAACGTGATTGTACACGGAACATGGCGAAACATCTTGTCTACTACTTAAGTCAATCTTCTTTTGGTGATTGTTACAATCGTTACAATCCTTAAGCTTCTCCTTTCGATCGTGTTTAACCATTGCAATTTCCATACATTATGCGATGCAACAGCTATCCGGAATCACTTTTTATAGGAGGATAAAATTAATTTGAAATTTGGCAAATTTTAAAAAGCTTTAATCTTCCACTAAAAAAATATAATTTTGAATTGCAAAATTTTTAAAAATTTCAGTTAGGTGCTATGATGGATCGAATGAGGCAAAGTACTGATTTATTTAGTCATTTTGAAGCTCAATTGCATACACTACTGGTAAGTATTCTTTTACAACTACTAATTACGGTAGTATATTTGCCAGAACGTATGATTATTGCAACTTTAGTATCGACATGATGCTACGATTATTTCTGTGATCATTTCTTACCAGCTGTTAACCAATCAAATGTTTCTGGTTGCTAGTTCGGTTTTTCAATAATAAGAGACAGATTCCAGCATATGAAGTTAATTGGCAACGAAGTTAACTTAAATACTAAACAAACATTTTACAGACAGGTGACGGAAATAGAGGAAAACTGATGAAAGAGAATGAAAAAAATGAAAAATTAAAGAACAATGAATAAAAATTCTATAAACATTATTGATAAATGTTATTTGCTTCGGTCCATCAAGTATGTCATGTCTGAACTATCGATCTTTCGGTTAGATAGTCCTCGAATAATTAATTTCACTTTTTAGGGTATGTATTGCTGGTTTGTGCATTTACCAGATGATGCAGAGCGACAGTTTCAGGCTGCTTTAAGGGTAACTTACTGATTACATTCGTCTTATTTAGCATTACATGCTTGCATGATACAATTGACATTTCGTACACATCTATTTCATATTGATTTTTTCAAATTATTGATGTTTGAAAATTTTCTAGATACTTAAATACTAAATAAACATTTTACAGACAGCAAAAGATACAGAATCATGGACTGTAGTAAACTTAAGCTTAGCCATTCTGTATTTGATGACATGTCGGGAAGCTGATTTTTACGGATTATTTGAACGAATTACACCTGGCAAGTTGCAGTCGAGTTCTTCTCTTCTGAAAGCATCTGCTCATTTCGTTCATGCATTGCACTCATACTTACATTCCAGGTTGCAAGAAGCTAAGTGAGTTTATCGTCAATATTTGGTTTTCCTAACATGTAAAGCATATTTTTATTTGAAAAACCAAATAAATTATGTTGAAAAATAATTTGAAAAACTGTAGATTATCATAAAATTATAAATTTTGCTATTGGTTTTAATCCAGCTAGCTATAATATTGTTAATATTGCTGCATAAATAATAACTTCCCTAGAGAAGCATAAGATGCAATATATATTGCAGGAGTTGGTAACTTTCCCATTGTTATTGGTTAGAATAATCTTTGACAAAGAAGAAATCGATGAGATTATTTTTGTAAAAACTGTGTGGCTGAATGTCATATCCATGTTACATTATAGCGTATTTCCTTTTTCAAAGTTTTCCAGGAGTCATATAACAGATAGTGTAACAATCGTACGTGATGAGGGTGTACCACGGATACAAGCCCTTGCAACGCTTCTTTCTGCTAAACTCGTCGCTGTTGACGTGCCCGATATGTTAATTGCTGCAAATAATTTTGCGACGAAAAGCACCGATCATTCATTAGCATTATGGTTGAATCAAATCATATATGGTTGGTATTCATTTGTGTTGATTTGTTATTGTTAACTCTTTATTTTTTCTCGTTACCTTATTAATTGAAAAAAACATATGGCAAATATTGTCCTTTTGATTAAAATTTAAAATTAAAAAATTCTTGCGAGTATTTAAAGCATTGAAGCTATATAATTTTACAGTGAAACATTGCAGGAGATGATCGAATTTAACATAATGAAATTTTTAATATTAAAACTAACCTTTTCAAATTTTTTAATATTTTTTCTAGTGACAAAGAGCTGCAACCTAATTTTTCTTTTACTCGAAGATTTTCTTCTTAATTATTAAAATGGTTTCCAGAGACTCAAATGCAATATGGGCACGTAGAGCAAGCGAGAAGCGTTAAAATGAAATTTGATCAAATGCAGGCGCATATTTCGCAAGCTATTCAGGACGCCGTTAATTCATCTGCACATTCATTAATTCAGGTGTGTCTTAGTAATTTAAATTCGATCAAATGTTGTAATATTCTATAAAATAATTTCATACAAACAATATCGCTTAAATTGGTTTTCAAAATTGTTGGTCGTTACATTTACATATATGATATGCAAATATCATACACGTATTGATTCGAAAATTTCTTGATTATTGTCGTCATATTTTTTTACTTGCATATGTGCTTTCCCATAAATGCTTTCATTTGCATAAGTGCTTTTCACATAAGCTGTTTAATGGATCGTGTTTTCAATTTTGAAATACACCGTCTTGTAAGTGATTTTAGATTTTTACATAAAATCTGGAAGAATTGTTAATGATAGTTTTTCATGATTGATGTAATAATTAGGTTGTTTAGAAAAAATTACCTTTTCAATATTGATACTAAAAATCTACAGGTTAAATATTGGTACAGAAATGTACGCATTTCTGTACTTGTATTTAACTTGTAGATTTTTAATTTAGCTTGAAAGTATAATCTGAATTCAAAGGCTGTTCTTTTGCAATAATAACTGAATGTTATTTTCAGTGGGAAGGTGGTACAGACAAATTGTAATCAATACAAGCAGAGATTGACTAGTTATCAAACCAGCCGAATGGATCACAATAATTCAGTAGATCTCGTAGTTCACAACCAACTTCACAACACATATTTTGAACTTCTTTCAGTGTTGCTGGTCGCATCATAATATTTCCTGAAATAAGAAATATTCTAAATTTAGCTCGAAATTTAAATTAATTCTCGAATTGCTAGGTATTTCAAAAGAAAAAGTTCATTTATGAAGATCGAAATTTAACTATTAATTTTAAAAATATTGTGATCTCTACATTATTTATATCATTTAAATAATATATGTTAGAGATACTTTTTTTCTTTAAATTTTTTTTTAAAAGAAATTTAAAGTCTACTTAAGTTCATGTGGATTTTTTTCGCAGATTTTGGACCTAAGGTCATTTGAAAATGTATTCATTGTTGGCTATCTTTGCCAGTGACTTATTTTAAAATACAATAACTCAAAATTCAAATGTATTTTTGAATTTCATGTTCAACTTTTCTCCTATGCTCTTTTAATTTTTTCGTATCTTTCACCATCTAGTCTATACATCCTATCACTATGGATGGAACGGTAAATGTGATTATTTTTTATCATTTATGTTTTCTTTGTACATTTCATTTCTTGTGTTGCTTGTAAATTATGAAATTTTGTCCTTCTGGTCGAATCGAATTCTAAATTTTTGGGTTTATATACTTTGTGCAAAATGGAAATTACGCCATTAAATATTCTGTGAAATATTTCGTATGAAATACAATTTAGGAATTAAAAATTCCCTTTATTTTTAAAGCCTTTGAATTTAATAATTAGCTAAATATATTGCACAAAAATAAGGAAATAAAAAATAATTGATACATATGTTGTTTTTATATTTGGCAAAATATTTCCGGAAAGGATGTTCCTCCCTCAGAATTTAAGCAATCAATAATTTTATCTTCCGGTAATGCTCAATAAATATGGTAAGTGTTTAAATTACTAAGATTGATATTTGAATAAAATTTCAACAATTTCCGATGAATCATCTTAAAAATGTTTTAATTAAAAATGGTTAAAGGTTTATTTGTTGTCTTTTAGGATGAATTTGTTTTTATCATAAAATTCTAGCGATAGCCGGTAATAAGAGAGAATAAGAGGATATAAGGAGAATTATATTTATTGTAATAGTAAAAAATTTACGATTTATTATTTTTGTGTTAAATTTGCATTAAAATTATTTTTTAAATAATTCTTTAAAAGATTCATTAATAATTTACTTAATTCTAAGGTTATCTCACCATACTGAATATTTTGTAGTTAATAAAGAAAAATTCATTTTGGCCAATAATAATACATCAAATCAATTCCTTCAATAATTCTATATAATCTACGATTTCCTTTTTCCGGCCTAGTAGATTGGAGCACTCATAAATAAAAGCTTTCATCAATAGAATTCTCATTTTTGAAATTTTCTTAAATTTGATTTTGGTGAGGTGGTATGGTGAGTATGGTGAGTATTTTTAATATGATAAGTATTTTGGTGAGTAGGATTTTAGTGATAATTTTGCGATTGATTAAATTTTGAGGATGGTTGGCTACATTTGTAAATTTCAAAATTCTTGAAGTTCATAGAGTATGTTCTCTAATGCATTCTACTTTGGAATATAATTAAAAAATTTTCGGAATATTAAAATATTTTTGATCTGTATTTTGATATGAAACTATTGAATAAACAATTAGATATTCAAATTGAAGTTCGGTTCAATTTTGGGATGATCGTGAAATAATTTTATTTTTAGAATTTTTATTAAAACCTCTCTTTTTGCGGCGTCGTTTCTTCATTTCACATGCCATCATATACGCAGTTGCAAATGATTGACCACCTGGTGGACAAAGTATCAGTGATCCGAACCTCTGTTCTATAAAAATTTCGAAACATATAGTAGTTTTATTTCAAAAATTTTAGTCATGATTTGTTTAAAAGATTTTAATCATCTTACTAGATTTGTTAGGTATACTATCAGATTTTGTTAGATTGGTACAGATTTGTTAGATTGGTCAGATTTCTTAGATTGGTTTTGTTAGATTGGTCAGATTTGTTAGATTGGTTTTGTTAGATTGGTCAGATTTGTTAGATTGGTCTCAGATAAGCCATGAATTAATATTGGTAATTTCTTATAAAATCTGCCAAAATCCGCCGAACATTTTTTTTTAAACGTTAAAATGTAGAAATTGTAGAAAATGTAGAAATCGTCCTAAAAATGTAGAAATGTAGAAATCGTCCTAAAAATGTAGAAATGTAGAAATTGTCCTAAATTGAAAATGTAGAAATCGTCCTAAATTACTTGTGTCCTGTAAATTGATTGCTTAAATAATTAATAAAATTAATAAAATGGGGATTTAAAATGAATGAAAATGGCTGACTGTTTATGTGATGTGACTTTTAAAAGTGATAGAAGAGGAATTAGAAAGTTTTCCAATATTTTACACTTAGAATAACATTTGATAAGGATGTTTAATTGTATTGTTATATTTGAATCTATGACTGATATTTTAATTTATTAAGACAATACCAATAGTTGATGTAAAACAAATAATTTAGAATCCATCTAACAGATTTAATTATAAAATTAATCATCTAAATTAAAAGAAAAAAGTGTGAAAACTTTTGGAATTAACCTGTTATTGATAAGCCAAGAATGGAGCATAAATAGTACCACAAACAAATTTGTTGCGTTAACCGCATAATTGATCAGTGGTACTTTATCAGCAACTATTTCAGTAATATTGTTGATAACATATATAACGATAGTTCCTTGATTAAGCTGAAATTAACTTTATATTAACTTAAAATTAGCTTAAATTAAAAAAGATCATACCTTCTTTCAAGGTATGATATATGTTTGATGCGATCATTTTAAATCACTCAAAATTAGGCAATCAAATACGAAGCAACAAAAGTTTTTATCAGATAAATTAAAAACTACACTTATATTGCGGCATACAGTTAAATTATATGACAACTTTATGACTCACCAATAACTAAGTTTATTTTTCCATTCTTTATCTTAACTTAATGAATGAAATTATAGGTTAGGCAGTTTAGTTACTCATTAGCTAAAAACTATGTGATTGTTGACATGACATCATAATAATATATTATGCAATAGACGTCATTTACAGGTTCGTTTATGAAACATTCTTAGGATCTATTATTAGACAATTTTTGAAATAATTTGTTTATTTCATTTTATTTTTTCTTTTTATATCATTTTTATAACATTTGAAAATAATAATATCATTTGTGGTACTAAATTTCATCTAAGATTTTAATTTTTATTTTTGATTTTTTTCATTCTAATTTTTTTAATTTCAGGTTTTTTTCATTTTAAAGTACCATCATATGCTTATTATTTAACTTTTAGTTTTATTTCTTTCATTTCTTTTTTCTTTGTTTTATTAAATTTAGTTTTTCAAATTTTAATTTTTCAACTAATTTTAATTACTAATTTTATTCATTTAATTTTGATATTAATTTTTCTTAATTAAATTAACAATATCATCTTTTTTTTTTAATATTATTATCATCTTTCATGTAGCTAATTTATTATTTTTATTATTTGGCAATTTTTTGAATTTACGATTTTTTTTGAACGTTATTAGAAAATGTTTACATCTGCTCGATTTGCTTATCATCATTTTCTTATCACTAAACTTATAGTTTGATTGTTAAATATGAACTTCAAAATTAATTTCATTATTTGATCTAATTTGGAAACCAACAATAAATGGCAATGAAATAGTTTGAGAGAGATTGAATAGCATGTATGAAATTAAATTTTGACTTGATACTGTTTACAATTCCAAATCATGAACATGAAAGCATTATAGGAAATTAAATTTTGAATTGATGCTAATTAGATTCCAAATCATGAAGACGGAAGGATTATAAGAAATTTAATTTTGAATTGATACTATTTAGATCCTAAATCATGAACATGAAAGCGTTATAGGAAGTTAAATTTTGAATTGATGTTAATTAGATTCCAAACCATGAATATAGAAGGAATATAGGGAATTAAATTCTGAATTGATACTATTTAGATCCTAAATCATGAAGATGGGAGCATTATAGGAAATTAAATTTTGAATTGATGTTAATTAGATTTCAAACCATGAATATAGAAGGAATATAGGGAATTAAATTCTGAATTGATACTATTTAGATCCTAAATTATGAATATGGAAGTATTATAGGAAATTAAATTTTGGATTGATACTATTTAGATTCCAAACCAAGAGCATAGAAGGAATATAGGAAATTAAATGTTAAATTGATAATATTTAGATCCTAAATCATGAATATTGAAAATAGTTGAATTAGTAGTAGATATGCTAATGAATTAAGTACTATATTATTATTATTCTATTATTATTCGAATAATTTATTCTATATCAAATACTTCTTTTCTTTTTAGTTTTATTTTCTTCTTCAATAGTTTTCAAAATATTTAATTACTTCAAATTTATTATTCGAAATATTATTTATTAAATTTTTTCGCTTTCCAAACTTTTATTCATTCATTTTCTCTTACTTATAATTTCCCAATATTACTTTTAAAAGAATATTAATTAAAAATCGAAAATAAAAGTAACAATTCTTTCGTAATTTACTTTTTAATAATTTCCACAAAATTTTTTCATTTTCTTTCTTTTTATTAGAATTAATAAAAAGACAAAAAAGATATAATAAGTAAAGAAATTTAAAATATATTAAATTATCAAAAAAATTTACTGAAATTGGAATTGATGGATCAAAAATGGAAGGTTGGCAGTAATAGAATAATTTGTAGTATATATATAGCACTGATAGATCTTATGTTATAGTAGTATATACGTATATTTATCTAAGTTATAGTATATATATCATTGATAGATCTTATGTTATAGTAGTATATACATATAAATATCTAAGTTATAGAATATACCAGATCTTATGTTATAGTGGTATATACATATATATATC